CACTAACAGATTGTAATTTGTTGGATGCTTTGAATAAAAAAAATGTTTAAAGATCCTCATCATATTAAAAGTCTAATTTTTGAACGAAGAATATTCTTTTCGATAAATTCTCTTCAGGTTCTACAATTATATATCTAAATTAATAATCCGAAAAATGACCAGGTTAAGGGCAAAGTACATCGTTTAAAGTATGTTAATTTAGGATTGCTAAACAAAATACAATAAAATTGTGAATGTCGATATGACTAAAATAGAATGTTAACTTGAATCTGCGTATATGTTAAGTGAAATTTAAGATCCATGATCAGAAAAAATATGGGTCAAATAGGGTGAGACAGAAACAATAGTGGTCAAATGTTTAGTGAAAGGCTATATGTAGGACGTAATAGGGAGGGATAAATGTGAAGTGAATGGATCATGTATAGGGTAGATCAATAATGATGTCTAACCAATAGTAATAGTAACAATAGTAATAATAATACAAAGATTTGTGAATAAAGATAACAGAGACAATTACAATTGACTACGAAAGGTCGTAGTCAAATTAGGTCATTCAGTAGCTAAGGTTACTATTGATTGGTTGGTCTTGAAGTTGGCTAGGGGAGAAGGAGTGGTTGAATATATTTCTTCTGTACGCATAGCTCCGGTTTCTTCATCCGGATGGTTACTGCTTCAGCCGTTTGAAGGACTCTAAGTCTGACAAGCTTTGGCAAAAAATTACTGACCTTATAAATAATTGAAAAAGATTGGTTTATATTGACACTATGACCAGTTTGTACTAAATGGGCCAATGTCGAGCTGTTCACTTTTTTCATCAAACCTTTGTTTAGCCACGCTGGTGGATGTTCACAAGCACGAAAATGTAAATTCCTAGAACTTCGACCAATATAACTAGCTCCACAGGAGCAGTCGAGCTGATAAATACAAAATGAGGTGGCCATTCTAGGTAATTCAACTTTTAGCTTCGGTGTAACGATTGGGCGCGTAGAAAATACTAATCTCAGTTCTACGGCGTTAAAAGACTTTTGTATTGTCCTGAGTAATCTCTGAATTGATATTGCACTAACCGCGTCCCCTTTGAATTGTAGATGCATGAACTGGGATTTCTTCTTTACCGTTTACATTCCACCTATTTTCACCTTCGTGATCTTATATTTAATTATAAACTTTCTAGGGAAACCATTATCCCTGAGAGTATTATGCGAGGCATTAAGCTCATCTCCAACTATATCAGCAGAACATATAGTGCGTATACGGTAACTAAGGGTTTTGATCAAGTTTCGTTTGTACTGTAGAGGTACAAAGCTAAGAAAATGTGTATGCTATCCAGTCCATGTAATTTTTCTGTATAAGTTCCTTTTTAACGATCCATCCGCTCTCTTAGTTAAGAGAACTTCCAAAATGGCTATTCGACCATCACTCTCTTCTTCAGATATAGACTGAATGGCTGGATGTACTTCATTAAATCACCTAAGAACCTCTTGCTGTGACGTCGTATTAAAAGACTAATATATGAACGAAGAATATTCTTTTCGATAAATCCTCTTCAGGTTCTACAATTATATATCCAAATTAATAATCCGAAAAATGGCCAGGTTAAGGGCATACTTTAAACATACTTTAAACGATGTACTAAGCCTGGTGTGATATGGATATATCTAGTTGGTTGCTAGGTGTCAGAGAAAGCGAGCTTTCCATTATTTTGTTAAAGTTGAAAGCTATAGGGTTGCTGTATGAACCAAGAAGGCTAAATGAATATGGGTCAAATTACTCCAATTATATATTAAATAAATATAAATGTATGAAATTCGGCAATCTTACAAACTGAAAGTTGTACTGAATTAGTGCAATATAAATTTCGTGATAAGTTTATAGAAGAACACGATGATTCATAATTTACGTTGGATATAATATTCTCTGTTTTATGCTTTCGACTGTAATGGATTTGGAACTTTATTGAAGACGACGATTCAGACGCACATTATTGAATGATAAGAATGAGTAAAACTTATAAGAGTTATCATTTAGCTTTGTATAAGGTGAGAATGAAATTTTCTTCATTGTAAGTAAATAGTCTAGTAAGAACTCAATCATAGTTGTTGTGGATAACATGGTAATATATATTAAAGAACAACAGTGGAATTTATCACAACAATTTTATTTCATTCAATGATTAACCGTTTGGTTCAGTAAATGGCCATTAGTTCTAATTAAAATTAGATTTGAATAAATATGTTATTTAGGTTATGCAAACCAGTAATCAAAAAGTTTTTAGTGATGATAAAAATTATTACGTACTCTATAGGTTATTGCTACTGCTTGTGTACCCTTTCCATGAACCTCATGTCGTTTGTCTCCTTTAATGAATAAACTGAATGGAGAACGAAGTAAGGTTTAAAATTCTTGTCCATTTATAATTTTAAAATGGGTTTTTGTGTATAAAATAGGGTAGTTGATAAATAAAACTTTGCCTTGCGTTTATGAATTTCGAGAAAAATACTATGAGCTACTTCGATGATTCTATATGAATAAGGGGAAGTCTAAGTTAAACGAGATGTAGTCTGGTATTTTTTTGCTTTGAAAAGTTGATGTGTTCATTTTATCAAAAACAAAAGTGATTTCAGTGTTATGTTGATATGACTTCGCAATTTGCTAACAAAATGTTGTATATATGTCAACTAAGCTGATCTAAATGTGGCCAAGTGATAATTGATCACGAATCCAAATTATCGATCCACTGCTTCAATAAAAAGATATCAGAAGTCGGGATAGACTGGCCAGTAAAATATAAGATTTTTGTAGCGAAATCATAAAATTTTAAATAAAACATTTTCTACAAAATAAACATGACTAAAATTCATTTGACATATAAATGGTTACTGAATTCTGATTCTTTAGGATAATTTCCAACTAATGAAATTAATTCCTGTAAGACATACTAATCTCAAATCATATCACTTTTGTAAATGTCATGTTTACGATGTATTTACTTAGAAGTATCAAGTAGAACAATAACTAACCCAAGAATTCATGATGAGATTTACATTTGAAGAAATATATGTATACATTATAGTATAATCAAAAATTCGTATACAGCCATTATATTCACTTCCGAATGGTAACGTAATACTACTAATTTGAGAAAAGTAATTTCTTCTCATTATGTAAGCATATTTGATATGTAATGTTATAACTGTGTAATTATTTTATATAATTTAGGTGAACTAATACAGATGAAAGAATATGTCTATAATGTATATGTATATGCTATTCTATGGTTATGCACTGAATATTTGAAGCATTGAAATTTCAGTTATTCAGGTTAAATGACATTTTTGGTGAATATCATTACAATTAAAGTTTGTAAACATTTCAAGAGGATGAACTAAATTTCAAATGTATGAGAACACTTCAAAATCTAGAATATAGACTAGCAAGTATATAATAACAATAATAAATAGCTAGTTTATAGTTAAAAGTCTTAATCAATATTACAGTAATATTTCTAAGACGAATAATTTCTAAATATCTATAATTTCAGAAAAGATTTGAAAATGTACTTTGAATTGTCAATTTTATAACTTTATCCATTAGACTCATTAAAACATTCCGACCTCATGTAATTTAGTTATTAACTAAATATCTTTAAACTAATTGCCTATAAATTTAACTTATTTAGGAGCTGCCTAAGGACAAATATGTGCTTTGGTTTTAGTATTTCAATATATATTTTGGTCTATTTATAAATCAATATAATTCTGAAAGTGGTTAAAATAATTCTTATTGATATACAAACCCCATTACTTTCATTCTAATGAAATTGACCTGAGGAATATGATGTACCAACTGAAATTATTCAAAATAGTAGTCGTTATACAAAATGATCAAAATATCAAGTATTTGGTAATGATGATAATATCATTCTGTGAACACTTCAATATTTGAAAGAGCCTTAAATACGTTTTTGTTTGGTTCGTTAAGTAATTGAATGTCTGGTGGAATTTTATCGCAGGAAATATTCTGAATAGTAACTGCAAACATATCAGAAGGGGTTTTGTGAATATTATAGTAATTTAAATAGTTGAGATCATGTGTCAACTGAAGCTAGACCTTGATAGAAAACCTGGAAGCATTGCTGAGGAGACCCACAATAGGACGAAACGGCCATCCAGTGCTTGTAGGTTTTCCATGATGGTCTAGCTTCAATTGATTCATAATATTGTTTTTTATTTAATAGTTTGCTTCTTAAGGATGGGTAATATTTGTGTAGTAAATATTCATATCTACGATTTAAATGCAGTTATTATTGGGGCGATCCAGATTATTCCAGTTAATAGTCCAGAAGGGTCCTGAAAAAGTTGGGTAACATCTTGTCAAATTAGCCCAAGAGCATCTGAAATGCGAATTAACCTGAAATAACCTTGGAGTAAAGCGTTCTCACATTTCACTCTTTTACTCTTGTGCTCCAGTTGTTGTGTAGATTTCGACTGGGTTTAATAGAATCGTTTAGGAAACCTATTCGGGTGTTCAGTTAGAAGTCTTATAAACTATTTTTTGGATCTTCATTATATTTTTCATTTCTCAATGCAAAAACAAACTCAGCTGTACGATTATTCCCTTTACATGTTGAAAACCCATATCAGTCTTATTATATATTGTTATTTCATTGAAAGCTATATAGTTACTTAAAAATGTGGTGAATTGAATTGAGCCGGATATGAGGACTAGAAGAATATCTCTCGATTAGTCAGTATGTTATGTTGTAATTAGTATAACCTTGCAATATTAATACCCGCTATGTATAATTAAAAAAACACATCAACGAGAATCTTTTAATTAAACTAAATAAATTTATGTAAATGGTCAAAATCAGATGTAAATTATATTATGTTGATCATTTTGTTATCATAAATCAATATATTTACTTGATATCTATATTATTATTATTATAATCGTAACTAATACAAGTAATGATGAACTAAACTTTTTAGTTGAATATTTCACACAGTTTTGAAAAGAAGAACTCCACGATCTTCCAATGAAAAGTAAATACAGAATTGTTTTATATGCGTTACGTAACTAAAGAGAAAAACAATAAAGAATAAAGAGTTATTCAATAATTACAAACAAAAACATTTAAATTATTTTAAATTCATTTGCAAACTGTCATTAAACTTGGTTATTATTGAAAGATAATATGATTTCTAGTTACTTTTACCAGTGTTATCCATGGTAACATACAAGATGGCATTTAACAAAAAAAACTAACTCATCTTTTTTCCTTTTAATGATTGACAATAAAGTATCAAACAATAATTTTAAACCGGTTTCATTACTCGGATAATAGACCTTTAATGCTAAATTATTCAGTTAACTGATGTAACTAATGCAAAGCTGAATATGATTACTTACAATACATATTGCATTCATATAAATATATTCAGAAAAGAGCAAGAAAAAAGATTGTAGCAGAATAGCATGAATTCCTTTTATTTCGTTGGTTCTCGTCAACTGCTTACAACCTGCGATATTTAAAAATCACAATTACATAATGCGCTTAAATTCCTTACGTGAAAGGGTTTAGTTTGAAGTTATATTAGTATAATATAGCAAGGTTGTAACTAAATTTAGTAGACTTAATATTGCAAATATATACTTTATGTAAAAGAATATTCTATAACATTAATTGTGGCAACAGTTCAAATGGCCAGAAACAAGTGATTACATAATGAGTAAATGTTGATAAGAACAAAATGCGTAGAGCTCAGTTGATAAAATAAGATTATTGATCTTGAAGACAGTCGAATTAAAATTACAATGATGTAATAAATGCAAGAAAGAGTTAAAAAAAGGAATATTTGTCACCAAGGCAAGAAAAGATTAATGACCATCTCCTTTTGAACACAGGTTTTTAACGACTGATAGAAACGACTTCAGCAACGTACAGAATACTAAATTTTGACTGCCTACTAATCACCTTAAAAGATTTTAAGGTATCGACCTAATATCTTATATGTGTATGAAATATATTCAAGATTAAAAGACCATTTCCTATTTATAGTTCTCATAATTATTACCTACTTATTTTTAAAGTTATAATTCACTTCATAAGTTATCTGATTGTTTCAATTTAGTTCACTTTAAAATATTTTATACTGACTACTTAAATAAGTTAATTGAATAAAAGAAAAGTTAGAATTTAGTAACCAAATTATTCAAAACCATTTAGATTGCAATAATCAATTAAAAGATACAATCAAATAATTATTTAAAAGAAGTTTTTTCTTAAACTTATTATGATCAAAGTATATTTATTCCAAGAAATTATTCAAGACAGACTAAGAAAGATGTAGAGAGAGTAGTAAAAAGGTACATTAATTCCTAATATTAATATTACTTCAAATGTAAGTATACTTTCTATGTAAATGGTATGAGAACAAAAAAGTTAAAATGTGTTTTGTATCAATAAAAAGACAATTAACAAAAATGAAATGACCATCTAATGGTTCCAAGTTTTCCATGATGATCTAGTTTCAATCGACTGACTTATGAACTCAACTAATGGAATTATTATAATATCCACAAAAACCCCTTTCTGATAAAAAAACACTTTAAGAAATCAATTTCATTTATCGAATTCTCTCAGTAAAAAGCTAAAAGTTAAAACCAAGTTATTTTCAAGTAAACTATTCATGTTAATAACAAGATATCATTCAATATCTTTATAAGATTTCATTAAAATTAGATTCAAACATTTCTCTAGGTGTACTAGTTTTCTTTATAATTTTGTAGCCTAGTGATAAAGAAAGGAAGATTAAACTTAATAACTATTATTCATTCATTTCATTTCACATTTGAAAAGTACAGATATTAAACTATGGATAATATCAACAATAACAAAAAAAATAACCATAAATGATCATACCTTGAGAATTTACTTCCAATAATACAATGCCATGTTGGTTCATATTTACGATCAAATTCTTTTTTTAAAAATAATGCAATATCTTTATCATCATTATATTTATCTATAGCTAATGCAGCAGTTTGTACAGCATCTTGTTGCATTTCTTTACTCATTTCAACATATTTAATAACAGCTTTTCTTTCACCAGTTTGATGTAATGTATTACTATATGATCTTTGTTCTATTGGCATTTTTAATTAAATCTTTTTAATACTAAAATAAATAAAAATTATTAATAATTTATTCTATTACTTTTGTTTTGTATTTTAAACTATAGTAATAATGTATAGTTTATTCTTTTAAATTTTATATGAAAATTGTTTAATTATAATCAAATAGTATAGTTGTGTCTTTCTATCACTCTATTAGTTACCTTCATATAATTTGGCTTTTTGTTGGTTAATAGTAGGAACTAGTAATAATAGTAATAGTAATATTAATAATAATAATGATCGAATTGTATTGATTCTAGAATAAACAAGTCATATAGTAGCACAGAACTCAATATTATTTGAAGTATAAACATGATCATTGTCAGTCATCATTGTATAATAATAAAAAAATATTATAAAGTAATACAATAGAAACAATATACATATCAAATATTTGTGAAAATAAATCGAAACTATTTATGATTTTTATTGACTTTGATAATAGTTAAATTTACTATTATTATTAGAATAGTAACATCTTATTTTTATTGAATGAGATAAATATATTTAACATTGTAAGTAATTAAACATTAATGAGATTTTGCATTCTGTATTTGATATAAAAAAACACACACACATAGTATTTATAAGTAAATAAATGATTCTATTCAAAACATTATGACGAAGTTGTTAGATAATTCTCTTTTAAACATTAAAAAAAAGTTCAGAGAAGGGATCTCTTTTCAACAAATTTATTATCATTATCAGAATGCGTTTTGTGAAGATTTTTAAAAATTTCACTGGTTCACATCATGAGTCAATTGAAGCTAGACCATCATGGAAAACCTGGAAGAACTGGACGACCGTTTCATCCTAGTATGGAAACATGATGAAACATGATTTCAATCAGTGAAATTTCTAAAAAAATCTCTACCATAATCTTCTGATGTATTGACTTGATAATACCAAGTTCAGAGATTTTTCTATTTTCAGTCATGAAATAATTTAATAATCAGTATTCACTAGTTTATACTTATTGTCAATAATTTATCTTCTTACATCCATTTTCACAGGTTGAAATCATGAGTCGATTGAAGCTAAACCACCATGGAAAACCTGGAAGCACTGGACGGCCATTCTGATAATAATCGACTGCTCACTAGTGACTGACTTCAAGAGATACTTCTGGAGTTCTAGTGAGAAGCCGTTACCAGTGGAGTTCAACAAGGTTTGTTGTGAGATATCAGCTCACTGAAGACAATGGTGTACGGTGGCACAACTTCGTGGATTGGTTGAAGTTGGACATTAACACCATTGGATGCCGGCTCAGTGATGTAGTTGATTAAGCGCCCGGCACGAGACTGATAGGTCCTGGGTTCTAATCTCGTGAGGTGCGGGACCGTGGATGCGCACTGCTAAGGAGTTCCATACTAGGGCAAAACGGCCGTCCAGTGTTCCCAGGTTTTCCATGGTGGTCTAGCTTCAATTGACTCATGGTTTCAATCAGTGAAAATTATCTTGTTAAAGTGCTAGTTCCGTAAGGAAATGTGAACAAGATGGTGTTATATAAAGATTATAATGCTAGATTATATAATACAAATAATGGAAATAGACTTAATAAGTTAGTAACGAATTATGACGTGAATATAGTAAGATGATTAAAATGTTTTCCTCACAATAATTAAAGGTCATAGAGGTGTAGAAAATAAATAAAGTGATATTATGAGCAATTATGAATAAAATAATGAGAATGTGAGGCATAAGTAAAGGGAGAAATGAATTAATAATAATAATAATAATTAAGGTCAAGGTAACGATAATGATAGAACGTACCCTTTTTGTACGCATAGTTCTAGCTTGATCTCAGCTATTTCGAATACGAAAAAATCAAGGTAGATTTAGACGAATCGTAAATACAACCTTGAAATCAAATTTTGGATCAATAGAATGATTACAGTCGAGTAGATGTTCAAGTATGGAACTTCTAACTGCTTTCCTCTCATCGTTGTAGAATCAAACTGGGACATGTTCTCGTATTCGAGTTAAAAGCGAGCTCTGGCTGTGGCCAATGTATCTTGCTCTACAAGAGTAGACGAAAGTTATTAAGATTTAAAAGTATTAAAGATTTATGGTATAATTTTCCTGAAACTTTAATAAAATATTTAAATGTTTTAAATTCAGAATAAAGTTATTAAAATCATGTAAATATGATATGGCGTTATTCTGATTTTTATGTAAATTGTGCTGATTGATTATTGCCATACAGATATCTTCAGAAAAAGACAAATGTTTATCATAAATATAACAATCAGTTGTATGTTTCGTAAAATTTTTAAAACTTATTATTAGACTCCTGAAATAACGTATGAAATGGAATTAGATAACTTTAAATCTACTTGTTAGCTCAATATTTATTCTACCACTGAACTGAAATACATAAGGGTACATGTTCTACACTCTCGTCACTTCATAAAATAGTGTTTTACTCATTCATGTTAATTCATAATAAATGATGTTAAAGATTTTCAAGCAAACTGAGAACAACTATACTTTCATTTATGTTTAGATTTACGATGATTTGCTTGACTACCAATTAAATTTCAATCGTTTCAAGTGTAAAAGGATTACCATTGATCTTAACAGATGATCGTCCTAAAATGTGATAGCTGGAATATGGTTGGTAATGCGGACAATTGACTTACAGATCTTGGGCTTAATCCTGAGGATCTTTGATTCGCAATGGTTTTCTAGGTAATATCAATTTCTAAGAAAAATAATATTGAGATGTGTATATAGTAACTTACTGTTCCAAATAATACAGACAATTACTATTCTTGGAATGCCAATAACTACCCAAGAAACTAAACATCAATAACTTAAATATATTACTGAAAATCTTCATACCTTCTTTTATAAGTTTATATTTAATTTGTGATAGCTCGTGTTGATACAGGTTTAGTACGAATGTAGTTTGAGCTTTTTATGATTGATAGATGAGTCACCAGTCAAAGAAACTGTTATCATAGTGAGTATATGTGAATCACTTTTATTCTGTTGTAATGAGCCATGATTTTAAAACAAAATCAGGTGTAAAGGTGTCACTACGATATGAGATTTTGCAACTAATACTTTATGGATTATTTTAAAGGAATAGAATATTTCATAGTTGCAGTTATAAAATGTTATTTTAAAATTTTCGAAAGCATTTTTTCAAAGCAAAGGACAACTTTTGTAACATCATGATGGATTGTAGAGAATTGGTCTTAAACTAGAACGATAAAGGTTACTAAATTCTTTCTAGTTTTCAATGATTATTCAGGTGATGTGACTTAGTGCAACAAATGAGCATGATACCAAACAATAAATTAAAACTTATCTTCTCATAAATGGCTAGATGCTGAATTATCCAATGATTCTCTGATACCAATGAATGTAATCTACTCTACATAAAAATAATGATCATCAGATTTTAACTTTGTGAATGTATTGTTTCAAATCCTTTAAATATCATGCAGATTACAGCTTAGTTATCGTATGTAGTCGAAGATCCATTTCATTTCAAACGACTCTTCTCTTCTGAATGATTTTGATGACAATGGCTGTTTATAATGAAAATTGGTTCCAAACAAGTTATGTTTATCATCTTCATGTAGTAAATTATTTCATACGGGTATAGATGCTTAGACAAAGAAGGAAGTAGTTTAAAAAGATAATAGTCGGGAGCTAAAATGGTCTGATTTACGAACTATTATTATTTGGATATTAGAAAAAACTTATAGGCTTACTGTAATTAAATTTATACAGTTCACGTTAAACTAAACATTAAGAGAATATAACAATGTCTGTTTGAAAACAATAAAATAATATTTACAAACTAATTAAAATTATTCTAACGGGTTTACATGGAAAATCCATTTAAATCAATCATCTGATATTACCATAGAAACGGATAGAAAGTCTGAAAATCAAATGTATAAAGCCAACATCTAAATTGAATGAAATATGAAATAGATAATTATTGTTATAATTTATTTAATCCCTTTATCATTAAAAATTACATGTAATAACATCGTGGAGAAGATTTGTAGCAGGATGTAGCAGGATGGAAAAATGTAATAATATCATTTTCATGGTTTGAATAGAAAAACAAGCAAACAGCCGAACAACTGTTAACACAACAATGTTACAAGGAATTAAAAATAAATAAGAAACTATAGCTAGACTATGATTTATAGATGAATCAATCACATATAAGAGAGCAGATCTCGGATTTTAGCATAAAGTTCATTTACACACTTGGTTTAATACCGTTTCGACACTATAGCTGATGTCAGTTCGTGATGAAATCTTTAAATCTAATTCTAACTTTAACGTCCAACTGTAAATCCTATCCCTAATTCCTTACATTAATACATAACCCTCATTTAACTCTGATAAGTGAGTGGACATTCTAAGTTCATTTTAGCGTTGCTCAAAGGTCTTACAGAAATTATCTGTATATACAAAACAGTCAGTGTTTAATTCCTTATCTACCATGGTCTTGGGATCTTTTTTACTTTAATTAGTTATGAGTGTCAATTATTAACTTTTTTTGTAAATCAAACAGTTATCTTATAAAGTTCTTCTATAAATGACGATTTTTACTACCTCCAAGACCCGATCTCGAAATCATAACCCAGAACTATTGTTGCGCATCGTTGTGGCCGGTTAGCCGTGTAAACAGGAATCCCCTTCTTTGACCCGAATACGTAAGTAATGGTTTATGGTTTGCTATTAAGGTAGATTGCTGATCAAATATCATCCTGAGGAATATTTTTGCGGTAAAGATAATTGATAGAGCGTCTTTCTCATTTTGAATATAGTTGTGTTCTGTTGCTGTTCATGATCTGGCTTTCTCAGCTCCATCGGGAAAAAATATAAGAGATGAGTGCTCTAATACCATAATTTGGAGCATCTGAAGCAACCACTTTAGATGGAGAAGGATTATAATGTCTAAAAATGAAATTGGAAGCTTGGAGTTGTTTGATTTTATCGAAAGCTGCTTGACAGTTTGCTGACCGATCTTATTTTGTATTCTTTTCCAGTAGATGGTTTAGTGGAGTACGCAGACGAAGGAGATTAGGAAGTGAATTTCAGTAATGACTAGCCAATCTTGGATCTGGTCGTCGTCCATCTTTATCTGTCATGAAAACAAGGTTTCTTATACTTTTCTGTGCGGAGGTGAAAACCACATTCAACTATGAATGTTAGCACCCGTTTACATATCTTTTGAAAGTTCATTTTATCTGTTCCCACGATTGCGATATCGTATAAATAAGCTGCCACTCCTGTAATACTTTGTAACTTGGTGTCCGTAATTTGCTGGGATATATAGGGTGCCATCTTCACTCCAAAGGGCATTTGGTTATTTAAGAACAGACCCCTGTGTGTGTTGGACCTTAGGAGGTCTTTACTTTCATCAGCCACTGCAGTTTGTAAATAGGCGTCTGATAAATCCGATTCCGCAGAATGCTTGCCACAGTTCACCTTGGCGAAGTGATCTTCAGGTAAAGGCAAGGGATACTGATGAGATTCTAGAGCTCGTCTTTTAAGCCGATGAACGGGCATAGCTTCAGATCCGAGGGTTAGTAATCCGTTAGCTCTCATGCATCCTCCCAATCTTTCTGTAAATATTTGATGATCTCTTTGTAACCCGGTGTTCTTATGGTTCTCCTCTAAGCGGTTAACGGTTATAACTCAGCCGCAAATGTTGTTTGTTGTACAGTTGGTTAATTTTAGTGTCTCTGTCAGATCTAACCCCAATAAATCGAGTGCTGGATTCTTTGTAAGGTATGCTGTCGCATTCGTTGTTGCTTTATTTTTAGAAACATTGCAGGGTACTTTTCCAGCAGTATTTAGCTTTCACCGGAAGTTTGATTGTTGGGTGAACGGTGTGCCTTCCATTATTCTTCCAAGTTCCTGGGCTGATAAGAGTAATGTTCTTTATAGAAACAGAACTTGTAATGCCAACCTCCAAATGACCAAAGTAGAGATCACAGGTAGTTTTCTGTGCAGGATGGTTTTCGTGAGTCGGAATATTTCTTTTCGCTTATAGCATGAACACACGGTGATCAGCTATTGTTTTCACCCGTGGAATTATTATATCCCAATCTCTGGTGTCTTGTGGTTATTTATTGTAGCGGAGGCTGTTCAGCTTTATTGAAACTACTAGTTCTGATATCTGTGTATTGAGGGGTCTGCATACAAACACAAGACACTAAAACTGATCTTCTTTCATTCATGATAGTTTAAACCTCTCGCATTCGCGACTTACTAAACCTGCATGTTTCGTCCAATCATCATCACTGGTTCGTGTTATCCTGGGCGGATACTCAACAAAGATGACTGTACAGCAAAGATTTGTGACAGAATGTTAATAAAACTCCTGAGCACTTTGAGAGGATGAAATTACTGTAACATCCACGTTCAAGCGTACCAAGGTTTCTTAGAAGCATTTCGACCTTTAGAGGCGTGATCAAGTTTATTGAAGTCGACCTTAAACAAATCTTCACACTTCTTGAACCAGGATTCGAATATGATACCAGACAAACGAATGAACTGAAATCTACGAATAAAATAGTAGATGGAATTGGTATGTGGGTTATATGAATCATTAGTAAGTCCTTTGTGATTAAGTTTCATTTGTTGAGTTAGAATTTCCAGGATACAAACTTCAAACTCTTCATACTGTTCAAGCAAAGAATTTGCTTGTTCAAGAGTTTTTATTGGTATGCCTCATCGTCAGAGTTACGTTTTCTACTTGGTTATGACAACACGATATACAAATAACGGCGTTCGAACGTGTAGAACAGCACAGTCGCAAATCAGACGACGAAAGAAAAAAACATGAGTATTTATAGTTATTAGTATCGGCTATAACATCATCATAATTAAGCCGATCTACAAGGAGTCAACTTATACTATCGTTCAATAGCAGTACGCTGAGTGTGATATTTTGGAAGACTCTATCAAGTTCTGAATAGATAGAATCTCTTCTAATCCTCTAGAATTTCTGAAAACGTTTTGAAGTCATCTCAATAACATTGCTGATAGAATGTCTTATTATTAAAGTTTTAATAAATTTAGTAAATTTTTTGTGATTTGACAACGTATATTATCTACATTAATTTTAAAGTTAAGCAATTTAAAGATTTTAAAGATCATTTATTTCGTTCTATTTATTAGTTTGAGATCATTAATTTAATAGTTTTTGAAAAAAATATTTTAGAAAACTTAACTTTAGGCAGCACAAATCTAATTCAAAAAGACGTTCTTTTTTGTTTTTTTGTTTTATAAATAATTTGATTACCGACTGTCATACTCATCAAAGGGGAACTTATACTTTAGTGTGCTCATTTCCATTTTTTTTCTGAAACAAAATTATAATGTGTTATATATGATCAAATATATCATTCATGAAAGATTATTTTCTATTGGGATTATGTTTTTAAGTTTTTGATTTGGATTGAAAAAAATTCAAATCATCAATAAATCAAGACAGTATATATTTTTTCCTAACCAGGGTTTCATTCTAGCTTAAATGGTTAGTTACGGTAATTTCTTAA